AGAGTACAAATTTCATTGCATTTGCCCGGCGGGCAAGTGCAATGATCGCAATAAAAATGATCGCAATAAAAATGATCGCAATTAAAATCATCGACATTCGCTGAAAACGACCCACAAGTGTTGCTGGCGCCATTTTGGTTGTTTTGTACACATTCTCGCGTGATTTAAAAAAGCCCCCGTGATAGATGGCGTGATTCAGCTCTTGGGGAGAGAATTCTGCAGAGCAGCTGCTGGATGATGAATTTAATCTATACTATAATACACGCTAGATTAAAAATCATCAGTCAGGGATTAGGAAAATAATAATAATAATTGTATGCACACAGTGTAAATATTTCTTCTGTACAGTGGTCATACATTAAAAAATGTTCATAAAATATTTTTCTCTTAGACATTGGAGTGGTGCATGTAAATGTTATAGAGCTAAACATGTTAAATTGGTGAGTAGTAGTAGTGTAAGTTTTTAACCTGTCAAGTTTTTTTTTGATTTTTAACATTACAATGTATATTTTTCCAAACACACAACAGTTTAAAGCAAAGTTTAGTTTGAAAAGAATGTGCAGGAAGGGTTGAAAAGCGTGTTAACACGGTAATGTAGGCTTGAGTTCATTATCTGACGCATGCATATACACACCAGAAACCTGGAAACTTACTGAATTACAAAAAAAACATTTAAAAACAAACATGTTTCATTGAGATATATACAAAAATTAATATTAGGAACTATATTTATCAAACATTATATTGGGCAAGTAAAAATTGTTTCTGGGCAAATTAAATGTGAAAGCCACTTGCTTTTTACAGTAGAGTATTTTATTTTTTTTTTATTTTTTATTTTTTAACTCTTCACTATTCTGTTATTTTTATACACTTTTCTAAGGTCCACATTTATATGACCACTTTAGCTATAATCTTTTGCTGCTGTAACACCAGAATTCCCCTATTGTGGGACAATCAAGGGATTTGGTACTCTATTTTATTCTGTTTTATTCTATTCTATTTTCTTTTCACTATCATTAAATACCAGGGCCTTACTGTATGTACTTCAATCAGGTTAACATAAATTAATTAATGTTTATCTTTCACTACATAAACATTATGAACTAGCGTATTAATCATGTTTTCTTAATGGAAGTAAAAGGTTATGACGTCATTTAGATGTTAGCAGATTATTCAACAATATATTTTGGTTACAATCTTCTGTTGCCTTTGCTCACAAAACCTCTATTTCATTATGTCTACATACCCAAAACATCTGCTCTCATTCACATGCTTAAAAGATTTAATTGTAAGAAAATTGAATGATTTTTTTTTAACTACACAGCAGTTTTCTGAGGGTCCGTTTGTAATTGGAGTTCCCTATAAACCTATTATTACCATCAAATCAGTGCAGAAGGGGTTTGGGCTTTTTTCTTTTTTATTCTACTTTTTAAATTCTTATTGCCCTGTAAAAAGATGCTGAGTGTTCAAGTGTTCATGGTTAAAGGGGCTGAACCAATAAATCACTATGATTCTTTAAAAAATACTTTATCTGAAAAAAATCCAAACTATAGCAGATAATTTTGCTTATAAGAGGGTTAAGGACTGCCACGTCCCTCTGTTGTAAAACCCTGGCTGTATTTGAGTAAAAAAGCTAAGAAAATCTTTTAAATAAATACATTTATAGCTTTAAGGAACTTAAACACCTTGTTTGCAGAGTAAAAAATTTAATCCTAGCATGTTTAAGGTTTGACAAAGAGTCGACAAAGTGAGCTTAATGTATATAATATATAAACTGCCTGAAAGAAATAATAAAATTATGTGGATCTTTTTTTCTAACTACTAAAAAAAACAACTTTTCATTAAATATTTCAATAAAATAAATTAAAATGGTCAGGCATTTAGTAAGAAATGGATGTATAAATCGTTGTAGATACAAAACTTAAAAAGGACTTTTTCATATTTCCATTTTTACAAGTAAATCACGGGCTTAGAAGGAACGAAAAATTTATTTAAAGCAGATTTGGGACACCAAAAGTCTGCTCCTCAGTAAAAGTCTCTATTTAATATTAGATTAAAGAGAAGGCAAAACGTTTGGTAGTTTAAAAATGAGTCCTTTGTGTAGCAACAAAATATACATTTTTTAACACCCGTGTTTAAAACATTAATGTACTGGAAAAAAGTTAAAATAATAATAATAAAAGGTGCTTTACTGCAAAGCAACTAATAAAAAGAGCTTAAATACATAAATAGGAAAATATTTTATAACCAGAATTAATTACTTTGACGCAATCAAGTCCCACTTGATTTTTGTTTTAAATAATACTACAATCAGTATTGTTATTTTGTTATTTGTTCCTTTTTTCTACCTGCCAGAATGTCTCCTTTTGTTAAAAGAGATAATTAAGGTTTTTCTCAATGGCCTCAAAACCCCATAAACCATCATTAATCCACCAGCTTCTCTCTGGTTTTCTGCTGCTCCTTGAATTTGTTCACCTCAATCACTCAGTTGTTTCCTCGGCTGCTCTGGCATTCCCTTTTTTCCTTTTTTCAAATCACTCCCACCAACTTCTGAAGGGCTTTTGTTCATCCTTTTCTGCTGCACCTACTGTTTCTGCTAGCCTCTCTGTATCTGTTCTGTCTAGTTATTTGCCATCCGCCTTTTGTGGGCAGTCACCAAGATTGTTATTAGTGCCAGGTTCAGGCCTGCCATGTAATCAGACCCCAGGAATTAGCGGTGGGGCCACACTGACAGGAAGGCACAATGCTGACAAAACACTGTAGTTATTACTGAGGTTGCTGCAGTGCTTCAGCTTTGGCAGGGATCTGCTGCTTGGAGCCCTGGGGTTGGATGAGCTCTGCTAAAGATAACCAATGCACACCAGCGTCAGGCTGCTCAGGCTGCAGGTGGTGTTTAAGCATCAGCAGTGCAGCCATACTGAAAGGACAACAGAAAGAACATCGCAAGGATGGGCTTTTATCATTTTGGGTAAAACGCGAAGCTTGTTGCATTACAGCAGAGAAGGGAAATCCATTTAGTTGACCATATTAAACAATTTGGTGTCACTTAAGAGAATTTTAGCTTTCAGTTTGAAGAAGTGGTCGTTCCAGTTTGCCTTTTAAAATGGGACCTCCAAGCCTGGAGCACATGCAGCATGCTTTAAGCCACTTACCCATCCATGCTTAAGAGCTTATACATTAAGTCTCACAGCAGATTACTGGCTTTATATCTAACTGCTTAGAATCGATCTTTTCTATTTATATATATTAAAAAAAATGGATCTGTCTCATTTAGATAATTTGAGAAGATAAATCAACCCCCACTATATAAAATTAAAGCAGACCTTCCAGTTAGACTCCTCCCTGTTTTTGTTTGGGAGGCAGGAACCATGAAAACAAGGAACGATCGAATCCTTCCTTTTTGCTAAGTAGCTTTGGCTTTTTTGGGGCCTAATCTTTTATTCATCTCTACACCTACATTGCAAATTCCGAAGAGTTAATTTAACTCCTAGCAAGTTAATTCAACACTATTTAAGTGTCTATATTGGTCCCCACTAGAATGAGATTTTAAAAGTGTTTTTTTTTTCAGTTAATACAGTGAAAGACTTGGAAAAAATCTCTCGTTAGTGTAAATTGAACACTTATCAGAGTTTAATCTATCTAATACTAGTGTATAGAGTCAAAAGTTAACACCATGCATTCACGTTTTTACATCACGATTTATGGACAAATATAGTTGAGTATCGTCAACATAAGAGTGGTAGTTATTCATTTCTGATACACTGTAGCCACATCTGTGCTGGGACCCGCTGACAGAGGCAAGGCTGCTGTAAACAGGATCTCTGAACACCATCAATACTTCACCAATGTGAGTTAGATGACACAACAGAGCGGCGGACCTCCAGCTGCAGGACAACCGTATACTGTACGTCCTAAGCCACAACTTCAAACTCTATTAATGTTGTCATTGAAGAACACATAAGAGATCACAGATAGGTTGGAATCAAGGAAGATAATCTGATCATATTTTATATTAAAACCAACACTTAATGGAGTTGTTTAAATTTAACTCTCTGGATTAATAATAGAGTTGCGCCAATGCCCTTTTTTGGCCCTGATACCCGATACCTGGCTGTGCAGTATTGGCCTATACCAGGGGTCTTCAAGGTTTTCTAGGACAAGGACCCCCAAACTGATGGCGAGAGTTTCATGAGATAAATGATAAACTGAATTTGGGCTAAAACACATAATGCATTTAATACGACCGTACTGGTTGCATTATATGAGGTTACTATGATTTGAACCTAATATCTAATGTATTTTTCTTTTAAATTGCCCATAGACACCTTGTAATTGGCACCACATGAATAAACTCCTCACACCTAAATTGGCGATTTGCATTTTTGTAGGTAAACTTTTAATTTGGCTTATATTAGAATAGATTAGATGAGCTTTATTGATCTCACAGCTGAAAAACTCACTGGTCACATATTGGCATGGTACTTAAAGAAGGTGCAAACAAGGAGGAAAAGGTGTATTAGGAATAAAAATAAATAAAAATAAAAAATTATATAAAAAATAAATAAATAAAAATAAGAAATAAAAAAAAAATGCAAGGGAGTAACACAGAGATTTGAGGTGACATATGTACAATCAGGAAGGCTTATATAAAGGTAGATTGACTTTTACATTAAAGTGTAGTAGGTAAGGAACAATGGTGAGATAGTGGTATGACTATTAAATTCACATATTATATAATATATTTAAATGTTCAGCTTTGGAAGTGGCAAGCTTTTCCCCCAATGCTTTCCCACAATGGCCAACTTTCACTGCCCTAAAACTACAAACAATGCAATATGCATTGTCCAAAAAAATGGGGAAAAAATCCCAAATTTTACAAACTTCTGACTAAAAGTGATTTATAAAAGTAAGGCTTTTTGCTGAAAAGTGGACGTTCACTTAGTGTGTTTGCAGGAGACTTGTTTGCTACTTTCTTAGCAGGCAGGTTAGGCTGTACTTACAGCAGGGTCCTTTGCGCTGCACCTTGATGCGTCGCTGTTTTTCGCACTGAGCCTTCTCCAGCTCGCACTCGTTGCTGTAGGTGGAAGTGTCGGAGCCGCAAACAGGAGCCACCATGAGTGGACATTCGAATTTCTTACAAACGCACTCGCCCTTGGCTGGGTCGGACGGGTCCCGCTCACACACCGCCCCGAAGCCACACAGCTTTCCTCTGCAGCCTGGATCAGACAGCAAAAGAAAAGGGAAGATTAGAAAGATAAATCCCCACTAAACACCTAATAAAAAAACAATGGCACCCAAAAAGAATTCATTTCTTCAATGTTATCTTTATGTCCAACTAGACAGCATTATTGGAGCATATTCACTCTGGTCTTTGGGAAGAATAAAAGCAGAAATAAACACGTTAACAGCCAGTATTCATAGCCCTTTAACTTTATCAGATTTTGTCCAGTGAAACAGCCAAACTCAGCATGTTTTAAAATTTAAAGTCAGATTAAACAGTTTTGTTCCTTTGTTGCTGCAAGTAAAGACCTCATTTTGTAAATGGATAAGTGAAATAACAAAACAGGTTTTGTAAAATTGAGAAAAATACAATCATTAAATGAATGTTTTAATAAAAAAAAATAAGTCTGAAGGTAAATTTGCTGCTTTCTCAGATTTTTCTTCTTTTCAATTTTTTTTATTTATTTTTTTTACAGATTTTGTATTTTCAGATTTTATCTTTCAATAATTAAAAAAATATTTTTTTCCAATTATTGTTTTTCAGACTGAGTTTTAGTGTTCTTCACTCCAGGAAAACCTGCGGCTAGAAGTAGAGAGAATATGATCTGTAAAACGCAGTGTCAAAAGAATGCAATTTATCTGAAAAACAAAAATTTGTAAAAAGAAAATTCTTAACTAAAACACCATGATGAAATATAATTTAAAAAAAGGATAAATAAGTATAAAAAAAATAAATTTGAAATAAAAAGAAGTTAAAAAAATCTGAGAAAACAAATAAGTTACTCTCTGAAGACTTTTGATTAAAATATCTTTTATCTCCATTTAAAAAAATACCTTCACAGTTTGCAACAACAATCAGATAAAATCCACTTTATACAAGACCAACACAACAGTGGAAGCATAATGGATTTTTAGACATTTATAAAAATAAAGATCTGAAATCATAGTGCATTCTGTCTCTTTTACTCTGATATGTCAAAATAAAGCAAAGAAGAACCAAAGTCTTTTTACCTGGAAAAATAAGTCTACATTTGTTTAAGTTACATTATGTTTAAAGGAGGCTGTTCAAAGGCTTCTGAGGTCAGGAATATTCATCTTTGAATCTATAACTCATTTAATAAAAAATAGTAAAGAGCAAAGCTACCGAAACATAGCAGCCCACCAGAACTGAAGGGGTTACTTTGGAGGAGCTACACGGATCAAGAGTCTCATGCATGAGAATCTTTTGACAGGAAACCTATTGGTTATAACTCCACATATTTAACCTATAATCAGGTTAAATATGTGAGAGAAAACTTTACGTCCAGTTGCCTAAACTTAACATTTCAAGCTTGTCCAGGACCTGGATGATTCAGAATCTCACAGACATGTTCAATACAGTATGTGGAGTTTTCCACAAGCCATGAAGGAACACAAGGAACGATTTTGGATAAGATGCTCTGGATTTATGATTAAAGGACACGGAAGCTGTTCAGATATAAAGTGAAAAACCTCACAACACTGGAAGAAAATGTTAGAGGCTGGAAAAGACTTGGAATCATTTAAAGGTTCGCCATTCAGAAGATAAAAACCCTGAACGTACAGCCAGAGCTACAATGGAATAATTTGGACAAAAGGAATATCATGTGGTAGAAAGATATAAGGTTTCACTTTATTTACTAAATTGTGAATTGGCTCTTCATAGCAAAGCAAAGAATGAACAAGTCCCTTCACCTGGACAGAAAGTCTACCTTTGTTTAAGTTAAATTACTTGTGAAACGGGCTGTTCAAAGGCTTCAGAGGTCCGGGATGAATATTCCGGACATAGCTTATAAAAAAAAATAGTACAGATAAGCTGCAAAGCTACCGAAAAACAGCAACCCACCAGAACTGAATTGCTGGTTACTTTGGAGGAGCTACACATAAACTATGTTAAGTCTAAAATACAGCATGTGGCAAGACTTAAAGATTTATGATAACACAGACTCTTTCTTTTTACATAATGGACAAAAATGTTTCTGTATATCAAAGGTTCGGAGCTCGTCTGCCTGGCTGTGTGTTTCCTGGACGGGGCCGCATTTTACTAGCCTGGGTGCCATTCCGAACTTAGTCCCGCCCACAACGAGGTCGGGAAGTTCGGTCTGGCATTGCTCAACAGTAGCGCGAGTATGCTCTCACAATATCTGGCGGGCCAATCAAATTGTCAGGGCGGGCTTTATACGATGATGGACAGATGATCAACAGTAACGTAATCAACCACGTCACCAAAGCGCGCTTGGGTGACAACAACAATGGCTGCTGCTGGAGAGTTGAGGTGTGTAGATTCTGCTATTAGGTCTGTTCTAGAAGATATCGACAGCAATTTAATTTTAAAAGAGGAACAGAGAAACGCGATCAAGGCTCATCTTCTTATTCTAGGCGTGAAACTGCATGCTTTGATTTTTGTTGACAACAACTATGCCTCGCTTAACATACGTCACGCACTCCGTTGCTCTTATTGGTTGTAGGTCTATCCAATTGAGTGCAGAGGCATTTTTTTTCCTGGTTCGTTCGAAACACGCCCCATAATCACAGCTCTATGGAGCAGTATCAGACTCATATTCTGACTAGAATTGAGGAGGACTACGTCAGACTAGCATTTTACAGTTGCCTTATGTCTCCTTGAACCCCAGTCAGCCTCGGCAGATGGCCGCTCACACTGAGCCTGGTTCTGCTGGAGGTTTCTTCCTGTTAAAAGGGAGTTTTTCCTCTCCACTGTCGCTACAAGCATGCTTAGTGTGAGGGATTGCCTTCCAGTCAATGAGTCAATGCAATCAACTGGTTTTCCTTTGATAGAAAACTTTGAATCAATTGAACTGTATGATCTGGTTGAACTGTAAAGTGCCTCGATATGACTTGTGCTGTGAATTGGTGCTAAAAATAAACTGAATTGAATTGAACTGAGGTTATAAGGTCATTTAAAATGCTACAAAAATACTTTAAAATGTGTGACTGTAATGTGGCAAAGTGTAATAAAGGTTTATAGGATCTGAACCCTTTTTTTGTGAAGCCCTCTACTATAAAGATATTCTGGATGGTTCATCTCTGACCTGTAAAGATACTCTGAATCATCGATCATCCTCCCCCCCCCCAGCCAGGTAAACATAGAGCCATGGTGAAAGAGCGGCTAATTCAGGTTAGCCAAACACTCTCCGGCCTTCACAAGTCAGGCGGTAACAATTCTTCAGACTTTGATCCCAAAGCTCCCACAGAGACCTCGGCTTTGATCGAGTGTGAAACTGTAAACATTGTCGGAGGCAGCCGAACGCGGCAGGCAAACAAGAAGCGCACCCCTGTGTATGTGCTGATGTTGTGTGCACAAAATATCAACTTAGAGAGTAATTGACCCGTGCTGTGGCAGCTACAGCTGCTGTGGCTCTGCGCCCACTCAGAGGGCTGTTGGGCAGCCAGCTGGCGTGACGTCTTCGCCTCACCACTGGGGGCGTAAAAAAGACATGGCTGGCTCTCACAGGTAGCTGACCTGATTGGAACTCCATGGGCCAGAGAACACAAAAATAAGCCCCCACCCCCAAAAAAATAAAAAAATCTGGATAGAGGCAGGAATCCAGTGTTTGTTTCTCCGGATGCATGCTTCACATTTATCCACAGCTGAACCCACATGTCCAACCAAGCTTCTTATCGTTGGCTCACAGGTTAGGAAGTCGTCACGTCTGCACGCTTTCGGTGGCTTCTTTCGGACAGACATGCCAACGCTCTGATAGACGCCCTCACGCTGCCGTCCACGCACAGCTTAGACAACCTTTCCAGCGTCTGCCCAAGGCATCTCCTTCTTTTTCTCTCACCACGCTCTGTGAATGTGTGTGTGTGCAGAGTGACAAGCGAGGAGGCTGTTTTTGACTTGCCCACTGTTCCCTGTTGGGGAGCTGCTGACAGCTACCTGAGCTCACTCTCTCTTCTATCATGGGAAAAGGAGGTATGTGTGTGTGTGTATGTGTGAAGCTACCCATGAATGCATTTGTATTCCTGACAGTGTGAGTCTCAGAGTGTGTAAGCACCACTCTCTGTCTCAGACGTCCACACACACACCTACATGCGACCAGGTGCTAGAAAGAAGGCCTTGTCATGACCGGCCTCCTGCTCTGCCATCACTTCACACCACACGCTCCTGTATGTGTGGGTGCGTGTCGGTGTGTTGTCAGCATGTGGCTCAGAGACAAAGCCATACGAGGGGAGTGACAAGAGGTGAAATTTAATCGAATTGTGTCAGATGTGTACAAGAAAAACAGAGGGTGTCTGATGGTGTGACAAGAAAATAACCCTCTGAGGTTCCGATTGGGGTAAAAAAAAAAAAGGATCTAAATATGTTTGATTCAAAATACATACTAGGTATTCCAAGAGAGAAAAAAAACACAGCAAAAATAATGCCTTGCTTGTATTTCTTGAGAAGAAAAAAAAAAAAAGAAGAAAAAAAGCAAATCCAGCAAGGTGAGGACAACCCATATTATTTCTGAAATGTTTCCCACTAGCCTCAAGCTCAGCTGACTGACAAAAGACTGACACCGGAGTGGAGGATTCTGTCAAAGCGAAGGTATCGAGTGCAGAATGGAGACTGAGTTCACTAACTGCATATCCTCCAAGTGGAAACTTTTTCCTTGGGAAACTCCTCCTGGCGCTCCAGAACAGATGCATACATTTGACACTTCCAATTTCTTTTGAGAAGGAGGAAAACAACAACAGCCCTGGCAGGTAATACGAACAGCGGTATCCCAGATGGTAGCTGAAAGCAAAACTACAGCAATGAAAAGACTTGGTTTGTTTTTTTTCCCAAAATTTCCGCAGCGGTGTGCATGACCCGCCTTGACTGACAGGTGATCACTAGGAATGCAAAAAACATTAATGGGAACGGACAAGGAGCCGTCGCACATGTCATGGAGACGGATGGGTTATTACTTTGGAGAAAAACAAACAGGAGGAAATGAAGCTTTTTTTTTGGCATTTCTTAAACACGCGCTCCTCTTGTTTTGGGTGCAGTACTTTTGGTTTTGGCTCTTATGCAAATATTCATCAGTTTACACGAAAGACTTATCAAGCCTCGAAATCTTTCTAAAAAGAAAAAACAACATATAAAATATTTTACTTTATTTTTATAACATCTATTTTTAAAATTTGTTCTAATAAAAAGACTAAATAAACGACAAAACATACTGCAGTACATACGCCTCACCAGTAGGTGGCAACAATATATACCTAGAATTACTATAGCACATTATCATAGCAAAGAAGAACATTAAGCAGTTTACAAATTATTCCGTAAGATTTTAAATTTTTGAATTACTTTTTTATAACTATTTGGGCGCTGAGGGACCCTTCTATAGAGGGCTCTGTGGGACACATGAAACTTAACGGGGGCCTGAATAAATGAAATTACCTGAATAAATGAACCATTTTAAGAAAAAAAATTTTAATAATACTGAACGCTGTTGCAAACTAAACTGTTTAACCTGCAATTTGAATATATCATTTGGTTAAATTGAGATTACGTATATTGCGAATGCATTTAATTGCCCAGACCTAGTGCTAAATAAAATAAGATACATTTCAAATTGGGCTAATATTTGGGTCAAAACATATACAGTGCTGCTTTTAACACAGAATTATTATTTTTTGATTAAAAATTAAAGTGAATTGCCCATTTGCCAGGTGGAGGGAGTGTCAGGTTTTGACGCACACATTTGACAATAAGTTTGTTAGTCTTTTGATACCAGAAAATACAAACAAAATGTTTTTATTCACATTAAATGACACAATTGGTAGTATATATATATATATATATATATATATATATATATATGTATATATATATATGACATTGTGTTTATGCTTTATAAGAATGGCAGCAAACTCATTCTAGCTACATTCATATCATACTGTTTTTAGCATTTGAATGGGGAAATAGTTCTGTTATTATGTATGCTATGTTAACATTATTATTATCTAATATTTCCAATGTGAGAATCTCTAAAGACGCATGTGTTCCACTTCAGAACATCTGAACTGATCAGAAAAAAGACAAGTCAGGTGAAGCTACATTTGTTCAAGCTGATAAAGATTCATGTCAAGGTTGTTACTGCTATAAAGCCCTCCAACAATTGCTGCTCTGTAGAAATTTGTCCTTTTTTATGACAACTACAAGATTCAGTTTCAAAGATTCGCTGTGCATTTTCTGACATTGTTAAA